GATGGATGGATGGATGGATGGATGGTTTTTATTTTTAAAAATGCATGAAGAACAATGAACTAATAAAACAAACATAATAAACTTAAAAATGCATATATCCCCATGCCATTTAGGGGTTGAAATGATAATAAATTATCTTTTGTTACAGCATGGGGTTTATATGGGGGTCCCTGTAATTTTTTTTCACTTTTGTAAGGGGTCCCCAAACCCAAAAGGTTTGAGAACCCCTGCCCTGAATAACATCCACACATTCTGTGTGTTTTCTTCATCCACACTCATTGGGGAGGGTCAGTGCAGGTTGGCTCAGACCAGCCAGTATGTGGACTGGACCTGCTGTTCAGATGGCTCAAATTGTAGCAATGTGAGAAATGAGTAAATCCTGAGCTGCTGTCACACTGAAGGTTTTCAACAAATGGGATATGAGACCATAAACCACTGTGAACATTAGCAGTAGCTGTGTTTTCATTGCAAATCAGCGCAAAACTTTGTCGATATTCTGTTAATGTCGAAAAACACTGTTTCACAACTGCAGTGTTTCCATTAAGTAAGAAATGTTATTAAAGTCACGTGAATACGTTTGTTCTCATGATAAGTCATTACAAACATGGCAGCGATGGATGTAAACACATAGCATGTTGCTACCACGACACTAGCGCTCATCATCAGAGGAGACGTCGGCGTCTTTTATCGAGGCTTTCCAGAGACAAGTCCCTAGTTGGGAGCGGCTACGTATGCTGTGTTTTTGGGAAATTGTAGTCGCTGAGTTTACTATTTTATACTACTTCTGTGATATTACTACTACTTCTACTTCCTGTTATCTTCTTCATCATCGTCTTTTTCACCAGTAGAAACAGMCGGTTGTTGATCACGTGACTCCTGTGATGTGAAAAAACTGTTTCCATTGCAGTTTTGCGAAAAACACCAACTTAGATATGAACGCAAAAACCACCTCATCCTAGTGCAAAAATGTTTTGTCGAAAAAACTTCATTTTTTCGAAATTGACGTGTTTCCATTGAGGAAATTTATTTTCAATATTCTGATTTGCATATTTTCAGGGTCAGTGGAAACACAGCTACTGTCTCTAACAGTCCACCAGGCTTCAAAGACAAAGACTAAAAWCAAATGCTGTGGTCGTCTCAGAGTTCAACATCCACCCCTCCACTTTCTAAAAACAACTTAATAGAGGCGGTTATTTGAAGAAAAGCCCTTTTGGCAGGGCAGCTATGTTGAATGATGTCTTTGAAGAAAATCAGGAAGTGATACCTGCCAGGTAACAACTGGCAGGTATCAAAAGATCATAAACTATTAGAAATACTGTATGTGTCCACAGCAGCTCAGAGATAAACACTGAGAACCACAACTGATTTTATTATGTTTTATTCCAAAAAATAAAAATAATCCTAAAGGTTTCAAATAAGAAACTTTTAGGACACATTGGGCCTCATACAGGAACATGTTG